ATATATAGCTGCTTAAGAAGTCGCTTACAATAATGTTTTAACAAATTTTCAGAATACTTTATGAAGATTTTACGAAAGATTATTGTGAATAGACATTTAAAATATCTGTGGCGCAGAGGTTAGAGAGGGTGGGCCTGTGATTGGAAAGTCATTGGTTCAATTCCCCATACTATCAACATCAAAATGTGGGTTGGAAAGGGGAAACACCCACTCCTGACTCGGCCCTCGTTTGCCCCACTCCGGGCCCTTGAGCAAGGCCCTTAACCCCCACCATCTGTGGGTGCCCTAGAGCTCTCTGTTCCACACAGAGGGTTGTGGTAGCTCGGTGTCTGTGGTTGTAGTTGTGGTTGTGTGGAAGGGCATCCAGCATAAAAATAATTGCCAAGCCTTTGTGTGACTTAGCAGTCGACCCCTGAAGATGAGAGCAGCCGGAAAAAAAATAGAAGATAAAAATAAAAAAAAGACATTGAAAATATCAAATAAGTAATTGATTCAGCTGTCGTAATGATTTCAGCTTTGGAGCTTGTGGAATATTAAATATTAAAGATTTTGTTTGTTAATTTGTAAAAGTACACTTTGTCACTGATTGTATTATTATTATTATTGTGAAAATTACATCCGGAAGTCATCTGCTTTTACAATGGCTAACTCCTGTATCAAAACAGCTAGCTTACTAGCCGAGAAAAGCTAGCATTTTTTTAATCATATTTGATCGATATTAAAGTGTTTCTCCGGTTGTGAGTACTATCAAATCCCTCTCGTTTTCAAAATTCATTGTGAAGCAGGTTCCTGCCCTTAAGGCACCGTGTTGTGAAGAAACGGGACCGTTACAGGCAGCAATTTGCGCCGGCTGTATTAGCAAACGGCGGCAGGCTAACGGTAGCTGCTAGCTTCGGAAGTGCATCGACCGAGGCGTCTAGCTGGGGAACCAAAGCGGCTTGAGACCGCCGGCTGTGGAGCTACCACGGTCAGTCAGTTGCCATAATAGGTAGGATTTCATAAAAGTACCGTTCAACTGTACTTTGTGTTTGTTGATAGCTTTTGAACATTCATTTTTGCTTTATTTTTCAATGGTTTTGTATTTTATTTGTCGCGAAAGTGTCAAAACAGAAGGTAGTTTACGTCTGAACTGTCATGATCTTCGAAAGTTCGCTTATTTTTTTTTACTTCTGACGGTGCTTTATGCTTGAAAATCGTCATATTTCCGCACCATTCCTTTCCGACGTTCCAAACAACTCACCGTATCAACCTCACTAAATAAATGTCAAGCTGTTAGTCAAACAAGAGCCGTGAAATTTGTTTTAAAACTGTAAATATGGCTGACATTTTACTCCTGTGCGAACCTCGTCTGTTGAGTCTATAAAATTCTTGAAGGTGATTGGCTGACGCACGGATCAGTCAAAGCGTTCTGAAAGCTGATTGGCTAGAACGCTTGCGTTGAGGCACACCTCGATTCAACAAGCTTTTCATGAGATAAAGTAAAATATCTATTGATCACAAAACTTTATTCGCAACTTGGATTTTGATTGAATATGCTACTTTTTGTATGATGTTGCCAACTGTCAATATGGTGGTATTTAGCTAGTTTAGCTGGCTAAAACTTTCGAGTTAAAGCATGCGTGAAGGAATGTATACTACAGGTGATCATGATGATCCTGAAAATCACTTAAATTATGTGCATCCCTTTCTTCCACAGATAGATAACGTTATTAATTGATATTTTATGTATGTGAATGTTTTTGATCAGTGCTCTGAGATAAATTATGTTGCAACTTGGCGCTATATAAATAAACTGAATTGAATTTTAAAGATTCAATAGACAAATAGGCTCTGTCTGTCATGCCTAAGATTTGAGTGATTTTTCAGTGCCGTTTATAAATGAAAAGTTTGTCTGGTAAAGTGCCAAGGATGTAGTAACTACGGCATAAATGAGTAATAGGAATGAAAATTGTCTAGTATTAACATTTTGAAGTATTAACATATTAGCGTTGTGCTTTATAACAGTTCTCTTACTCATTTATATATTTGTTTTCATCTTACAGGAGTGAAAGTGTTACCAGTGGCCTATGAGGAAGCCACGTCGAAAGGTCCCGGTGGCTGGAGGAGGTGGAGTAGATGTCAAAAAGTCCAGAGGGACAGCTGGTGGGCGTGGGGGTACCCGCCAGCGATCTCCATCTCCTTACAGCCTCAAAGCATCTCCAAGCAGAGAAACCCTCAGCTATGCTCAGGCTCAGAAGGTGGTGGAGGTGGAACTGGATGGCAGGCTTCACCGCATTTCCATCCTGGAGCCTCTGGAAGTTATTACAGATGATGAGATGATGGCTCAGGATATCAGCGAGTGTAATAGCAACAAAGAAAATAGTGAGCAGGCGTTATCTCCCCCCAGCACTGCTCAATCAACCCGTAAAGCAGTCACACCCAGAGGTCGCAGAAAAGACTCCAAAAATTCCACTGTCCGGTCGCCAAAAAATTCCAAAAACCACTGTCCAGATCCCCATCCCCAAACACCTGAAAAATCAAACACAACAAACTCTCACCACACGACTCTTCCAGAACCCAAGTTTCTGGTTCTGGAAACCTTCACACCAGTCGAGGCAGCTCCTTTGCCTACAGCATATTATCGTTACATTGAATGCTCGGCTGACGAGCAGGAAGTAAAAGCAGAATATGACATGGACGAAGAAGACGCTGCTTGGCTGGAGATGATCAATACTGGCCGGACATCAGAGGGTTTCTCTGCTGTTTCACCGGACACTTTTGAGCTGCTGGTGGACCGTTTGGAGGAGGAGGCATACCGAGAAGCTCGAAGCCGAGCACCCTCTCAAAGCGCAATTGACGACGATGCTTTTTGCTGTGTGTGCCTGGACGATGAGTGTCTCAACAGCAATGTCATCCTCTTCTGTGACGCGTGCAACCTGGCTGTGCACCAGGAATGTTATGGAGTGCCCTACGTCCCTGAGGGCCAGTGGCTGTGCCGCTGTTGCCTTCAGTCCCCTCAAAAACCTGTTGACTGTGTTTTATGCCCAAATCGGGGTGGTGCTTTCAAACAAACAAGCGATGGCCGATGGGCACATGTGGTCTGCGCTATATGGATCCCTGAAGTTTGTTTTGCCAACACTGTGTTCCTGGAACCAGTGGAAGGGGTCACTAACATTCCCCCAGCACGCTGGAAACTGACCTGCTGCCTGTGCAAGCAGAAGGGTCGAGGTGCATGTATCCAATGTCACAAGGCTAACTGTTACACTGCATTTCACGTCACATGCGCTCAGCGTGCTGGCTTGTTTATGAAGATTGAACCCGTGAGGGAAACGAGCATCAATGGCACAACATTTTCAGTTAAAAAGACAGCGTTTTGTGAGACCCACTCTCCCCCAGGACAAGAGACTGGGTCAGACGAGGAGAATGAAGGGCGAGTTGTCGGCAGCAGAGGAAGGGCGAGTAGAGGTCGGAGCGCCTACACTGAAGGTCCAGCGACACCAAAAAAAGGCAGAAAGCCTGAAGATGATGCCTCATCAGATAAAAAGAAAGGGAAAAAAAAGACTGAGGCAAAAGATCAACATGCTGGTTCACCACAGACGACCGTGTCCCAGATACCAACAAGCAGGTTAGGTGATCTATAAGTTTTCTCAGGAATAAATTAACTTTATATGTTTTTATATGGGGGGTTTCATCAATTTGTCCTGTTACTTAGGGAAGCTAAAGTTGGCCAAAACTACTTCTTTTTTTGACAAAGCAAAGTAAAAGTTTTTTTTTCTTCTGGGAAATGTTTGAATTGATGCGTCATGTTTGATGGTTGGATAAACTTATATATTCCTCTGTTTTACAGGCTTAATATTATCAGCAAAGGAGTCATTCTCCAAAGGAAGAACCAGTTTCTGCAGAGACTGCATAACTACTGGTTACTGAAGCGTCAGTCAAGAAACGGTGTGCCACTGGTCCGACGATTGCACTCCAGCATCCAATCCCAAAGGAACACAGAACCGGTCAGTTGTTCTGTTCTGCTATTTAAAAACAAAGAACAGCAGTTTTCAAAAACAATGTATTGCCTCATTAGTGACATTATTTTTCTGTAAGCTGTAATTTTTTTTCTCCTTGGTAGCCTGAAGTGGACGAGAAGATTTCTGCAGCAAGAGAAGCGTTGAGATACTGGCAGAAGCTGCGACACGACCTTGAAAAAGCCAGACTGCTTGTGGAGCTCATTCGCAAGAGAGAGAAGCTCAAACGAGAACAAGTAGAAATGCATTGAGTTGAATAATAACTTAATTATGACCAAAGGGAATTTGTATTTTGATAGATAGTTCATATTCATACTTTTCTTCTGTTCTCAATACATGAGAGTCTGATAAAGCCTGACACTGTGGCCATGTCTTCTGTCATCTACAGGTCAAAGTTCACCAGGCAGCTTTAGAGATGCAGCTGACCCCGATGTGGATGCTTCTTCGGTCCACCCTGGATCAACTTCAGGAGAAAGACACGGCGCATATTTTTGCAAAGCCAGTTGACACAAAGGAGGTTAGACATTCGTTTTGACCTTATATAAACTCCAGATGCACCTATAGTGTGCTTTCATTTCAATTCTGATTTTCTAAGTTCCCAGTTGTCTCGAGTGTCTGCATCCATCCTGTGAATATCATTCTTTATTAATGTGGCAACAGTAACTTCCGTTGGGAGCGCTTTCTCCGTGCTGAATCATTTGCAGTATTTGAACAGCTTAAAAATAGTTGGAAGCTTTGTCTTTGTTCCCCACAACATTTAATCAACCTTGTAGGTGTGAAGATTCACACACTAGTAAAAACATTCGTCCAGGACAGGATATCAGCAAGGTTCAAGGTTCTTTATTGTCATTTGCATCACATGTGGTACATGAGGTGGAATGAAACTGTGTACTCAAGGTCCCAATTACACCCAAAAATAGCAAAAAAAAAAAAAAAAAAAAAATTAAAGAAAAAAGAAAGTATACAAGATGATGTATGATGATGGTCCTTCTTGAGCATGTGATCAGCTTGTTTTGGTTGTCAGCAGCAAACTGGTTGATCCACTCTAAGAAGGTGCTATTTAAGAGACTGAGCTGAAAACAGCACCTCAGACTGAGGAAGTCTCTTGGATGAGAGACGAAACGTTTCTAGATTTTTTTTGCTTTGTTTTGTTTTTTTGAATGTCCAGAGGACCAGATTGAACTTTTTTGGAAAGTATACAAGGTTTTAAGATATACGCTAAACAATAATAATGTAATATAATATGGTGTATTAAACAGCAGCCTGAACATGAGTCTGTTGTGAGCAGATGGGTATGAATACAGCAGCTTTATGCGTAAGAAATCAGCAGCACACATAAATGACATATCACCAATTAAAGTAGCATTACAGTAGTCCCGCGCTACTTCATGGTTTGTTTATCGCGGATTTGCTCTATCTCGGTTTTTCAAAATAAGATTGGACATGACACACAATTGATTGATGGATGAGCTGCACAATCGGCATGGAATTTTTTTTTAAAATAAATTATTTTTAAATTATTTAGCACCTGCTGCACATTTGTGCAGCCCAGAGTAGTAGAAAAAGCTTCCTCCTGCAGCTTTGTGCAGCCCATACTGCTGCAGGATAAACTTCCTGCTGCAGTTAAACAGCTGATCAGATGTTCAGCGTGCAGAGAGGAGAAGTGGGCGTGGCCAAGAGCGCTTGCAGGTGACAGAGCAGAGGAGGCAGGGAGCTGAAATCATGACATTCTGTGCTCTTTTAGAGAGTTTAGAGTTTAGAAACATTGTTTAGAATATTGCAAGAGTGGGAAGAGTTTAAAACGCCTTTTTTATATATATCTATCTATATATATATATATATATATATATATATATATATATATATATAGATAGATAGATAGATAGATAGATAGATAGATAGATAGATAGATAGATAAATAAACTACTAATTACTACTTGTACTACTATTCCTACTTCGTGATTTTTCACTAATCGCGGGTCTTCAGGGTACGGATCCCCCGTGATAAACGAGGGACTACTGTACAGTGATTTTTCTGGTTAGGGATTTATGAGTTTTAACAACCCCCTGTTCTAAAAATACGAGTTTTACTTTTATATGTTTAGGTACTGGATACGAGATCTCCTCCATGACTGAAAGTCTTTTTCTGAGTATAAACTAGCTTTTGCATCCATTCTTGTTTGTTTTGTCTTGTTCTCAGGTACCAGATTACCTGGAGTTTATCAGCCAGCCGATGGACTTCTCCATTATGTGCTCCAAGCTTGAAAGTCATACTTATCGCTCTGTAGCTGACCTGGAGACCGACTTCAACCTGATGGTGTCAAACTGCCTCCTCTATAATGCCAAAGACACCGTTTTTCACAGGGCGGCACTTCGTCTTCGTGACTTAGGGTTCGCCATATTACGCCACGCCCAGCGACAGGTCACAAACGCCGGTCTAGACCTTGACACAGGCATGCACCTTCCCGAGTCGCCCCAAAAAAGAGACTTTTACAACTGCACCTGGGAGGACGGTATGTCTAAGTGGAGTTACTGTAAACATTTCACATATTTAATGTTTTGGTTAGCAGAATGGTGGTTTTGCTGGTTATTGCTGCTAGTTCCCCCCATTATTAGTGTCTGACTCTCATAATTGGGATGTTCCTGTTGCTCCTGTATTTACATTGAACTATCTCTGTTGACTTTCAGTATAGCTTCATAAACCAAAAAATGACAAACTCTTGTGGAAAATGTTCTACTTGTACATTTTGTTTATTTTTGTTCTGGAATCATGAACCTTACCTGCCAGCTTCCTGCTGGACTAACACCTTGATGTGTTCAGTTGACAGTGTTCTGGATCCAGATAACCGACTCCACATGACTGTGGAGGAACAACTGAAGGAGCTGTTAGAGAAGCTGGACTTCGTCACGTCGATGCGGTGCAGCGGCGCCCGAACTCGCCGCATTCGCCTGCTTCGTCGTGAGATCAATAAGATCCGCTACAGGCAGGGTCAAACCCCAAGCCACAGCAGCCACAATGGTTACCTTAAAGAAGATGATGAGGATGATGAAGATGAGGAAGACAATGATAACGATGCCAAAGCAGAAAACAACATTTCGTCTTCAGACAAAGGTGAAGGATGAAAAAAAAAATGAAACTGCCAATGCATGAACCTTGAAAAGCCTTTTTTTTAATATATATTTATTTTTTTTAGTTTGTCAATGAGATCAGTTGTAAACATGAGCTAACAGAAAATTGTCCTCAGGTAATTGAGCCAGTGTCCCCCCCCACGCACCAACCCCAACCACCCCACTGTCTTCAGTCTAGTAAGTAGGGGCCCAGAGAGTCTCGTTAGCCATGGCTGCCTCACAACTCCACTCTCCTAGTGCACTCTGTGTCTGCACCTCCTTTGTACATCACTCTCATGGATTCACCGTTCTCGTTTAGCCACGATCAGTCATGCCATGTCATCCCACTTCTGACTAAACTGGTCCAGTCAGACAGTCACAACAACATGACACCTGTGGTTTTAGTCCATGTTACCATGTTACTGGTGTACAGCTGTGAGAGCAACGTTATTTATTCGCTGCTCTCGATAACGTTCTTTAACTCCTTTTGGGTTGTGGTTAGAGTGTAAGAATGGAAGGCTATCATTACAGTGGCACCATTTTCCAGTGTGAACACTGCACCACCACATCATACCACGTGCAAAAAAGATGTTCTTTCAGAATAAATGCTGAGGGAAATTAAATTGTATTTGTCTCCTCATTCTTCCAGAGGACCGCAAATCTGCTTCTCCCCCGAAACTGGAACCTACAGGTCCTGCTCCTCCTCCACGACAAGGAGATCCACCGCTGGAGCCTCCTACTCTGCGGCCAATCACTCGGGACTCCCATTCCCCCACCTGGCCCTGCAAGCGCCTTAAGATGGAGAGTGAGATCTCAAACAGTACCATAGAGAACATTACTTGCACTAATTCACAGGAGAGGTCAGCAACGCCACCTCCTAGTTTGCACAGCGAAGCTCAGGTGGTGGCTAATGGCCTACCAGTGCTCAGCACCCCCTCAAGGCCCACCACCGGGGGAGTCGGCCGTCGGACCTCGGTATTGTTTAGGAAAGCAAAAAATGGATCCAAGCTTCTCAAAGAAAAAGATGACCTTGTGTTGAATGGAAAGGAGCTGCAGGATGAGAATGCAAATAACAAGCCTACAGGACCCAGTTCCACCACCTGCACCCCAACGTCCACACCTTTGTCCGCTTTATTAAAGACCCCCCAGAAAAGCCCAGAGCCCCCCACACTTAACGAACTATGGACCCCTGGTCGAGACTCATGCTCAGATACTGAACTGGAGAGGAGACTGGAAAGTGGTGAGAAGCTTAATTTTGTTACAGAAGTTAAGGTTTAAGGTCTCAGAGAAGAAGTTCAGAAATGGCTGCCAGTGTTTCCTTTAGGTCAGTTGGCAGGGAGCACTTTTTTTTCCAACAATGGGGGGAGAGGGGGGTGGAATAGTCGAAGGACAGTTGCGCTACGTTAATGCTGGCAGTTGTCAACGGAGGTGGGGGGGAGAAGCGGAGCTTTACATCTGTAGCTTTTTAGCTAGTGCGTCTGTATTGCGTGCCGCTAGCTTAGAGCTACGTCAGTGCCAGCAGTTGATGACCAGGGAGGAGGGGGGGATGAAGGTCAATTCAGTAGGCAGGGTGCTTGGTAGAGTTGCATTCGGGCCCAACAAATCTGGCCCCAGCCCGTAGCCTTCATTTCCGAACTCGACCCGACAAATTAACAGTAATTACAGATCCGAACCTGAAAAAAACCCAGACAATTTTTAATTAAGCTTTGGCTGCTTGTATAGTTATTAACAGTCAGCTGACGCGTGCAGCTGAAGATCAGAGCTGAGGGGGTGTTTGTCTTTTCATGGCCGTGAAAGAGCATTAAATCCCTGCTTCTGCCTGCATTCTGCATTATTCAGACATGGACCCTGCTCTGACATGTTTGCTTTGGGATCTCACCTGTTTGGGTCGTTGGCCGCGCGCGTGTCCGCTGAGTGCAGCTGCTGAACGTCCATTTGGGCGATGGATCGCTTCCTGGCAGTACCGGTAGTCCCATCTGAAGCTTAACTGAACTTTATTTTACCTTTTTCAAGGCCGGTCAGTTCGCGGTGAAATCGCCGCGTGCAGCTGGTGAATCTATGGCAAACCATGTTGCCATATAATTGGATTGTCAGCCACGCGTTAGAAATGACAGCTGTAGCTCTCGGTTCTGTTGACAGGGCGGGGCGCCCTCCTTGGGTAACGGGAAACACTGGACTGCTGTAAACGCCACTTTCAACATTTTTCACGATCTCTGACAGAACAATGTGGAATCACCACACTTGTGAGGCTGCTCATGCAGATGATTTGAAAAACTAATCGCACAATAAAACACAAAACCTTTCATGTATCAACATAAAACATGTCTGAACTTATAAAGAATATTGATTTTTTTTTTGTCCAAGTAAATAAAGGAGTAACTTATTTACTCACTTAGTAACAGTTTAATTTAAAACTTTTAACAAAAACCTGCATGAAGATAACTTCTGGACCTTCACATGCTGTTAGGGAAGAAAAGACACAAAATATGGTGTTTGTTGTTTACTAATCAGCAACGTGTTTGCTTTGTATCATATCAAATATCACTTAATATCATGTCGTTTTGTCGTGACTCAGACAAGATAACTGATTTTTAACTGAACAGTGATTTCAGCAGTTTCTCTGTTTTGTTTCAGGCCTAACCAATGGCTTTGATGGGCACAAAGACAGAAGGTCTGATTCTGAGTCCAGCGTGTGTCCAGTGCTTCTCAAAGAAATGTAAGACATTGTTGTTGACATCGTTGTTTTTGTGTTGACTGTATTTACAAATGAAAAATGTTCCGTCTCACAGTAACTCACCACCCAGGCGAAGCCTTGGAAAACCATCCCTTTCCAAAGTTCCTCTTCTTGAGATGCTCAACGGAGATTCAGATTACGCTGGTGCGTTTACCTCTTTTTCTCTCATAATCCCATTTTTGTCCTCTTTGTGTTTTGGAAAATGATTTGGGTGTTTTGTTTTCTTGAAGGCAATAGTAGTCAAATGTCAGACGACGAGATGGAGCTAGAGCCTTTGGACCTGGTGTGGGCCAAATGTAGAGGGTACCCCTCCTACCCAGCTCTGGTAAGCACTTCTTTTTTATCCAATATGACCACATTAAATAAGTATGAAGCTCTAAATTCTGTTCTGGACGGTTAACTTGTTCCAGGTAATTGACCCAGAGATGCCCGAGGAGGGTCTGCTCCTTAACGGGGTCCCCATCCCTGTCCCACCCAAAGATGTCCTCCATCTGGGCGAGCAGAGACAAGAAGAGACAAACGAGAGACTCTACTTAGTCCTTTTCTTCGACAACAAGCGGACGTGGTGAGTTTGACTAATATTTACCGTAAATTTTGCCGTATGTCATTTTTTTTAAATAAATTTGCGACTTATATGGCAAAGCGACGTATTTGTGTCCCCCCATATTTATAACCCAACTTTTGACGGTCATCTGACGATTTCATTCATTCTGACCTGGAAAATATTGAACACTACCAACAAAGTCCATGCTCAATAATCCAGGTATACAATCCAACATTTTTCAGTCAGGTCATCTGGACAGTTTCTTCTTTTTTGTGCTGAAACGTTTTGCCTTCGATCCGGAAGGCTTCATCAGTCAAGGACACACAACAAAACTGATTCTTCCCCCAACAGCTTACTCCAAAGTGGAACAAACCAGTTTGGTTAGTGCTAGATGGTCTGTTTGGTACACCCCCTCCTCCATTGCCGGCCCTCTTCCTTGTTGGCAGTCGTGTCAAACTGGTTGAAAACAACAAAGTCCATGCTCAATAATCCAGGTATACAATCCAACATTTTTCAGTCAGGTCATCTGGACAGTTTTTTTTTTTGTTTGTGCTGAAACCATTTTCAGCTGCTAGAGGACACTCAAGCAATATGACAAGCCAAGTGTCTCATTAATAGGTACAAGTGGCTATTAATGAGACACTTGGCTTGCCATACCAAGCCACCTTTGTCTCGCTCCAGAACTCCTGGAGCAAACGTCAAATCAGCTGCATTTCACTGCACCGCCCAGGCCCAATGCAGCCGATTTGATCATTTAAGTGCATTTATTAAGGAAAAGTTCAACTGAGATGTACCTTTACTATAAATCGAGCAAACAAATAATTGTTTTTAGGTGGTTATCTTGTTAAATTTCGAAGAAATGCACAGCGAGTCGTCCCTCTGCGCGCTCCAGCAGCCACGAACTGGCTTTAGAAATGCAGCTGATTTGACCGTCAAAGTGCATTTATTAAGGAAAAGTTCAACTGAGACACACCTTTGCTATAATTTTGAGAAAACAAATAATTGTTTTTAAGTGTTAATCTTGTTAAAGTCCTACCATGCACACTCCCGCTGCTGCGATTTGGCACAACACTGGTCCACATTTCCGGGTGGTCAGCGGTGACGCATAATAGAAGCAACGCATTTATGTTTTTTCCACTTTATTAGACATATTTGGACTGATGCAACGTATATGGCAAGTACGGTAGATGTTATGCTGAGCTCCTCTGGTTACAGAGTTTAGCTGCAAAGTCAAGGAGAGGACATTTTGGTTAAATTTAGTCCAAAAGTTACTTTTAATTAAAAAAAAAATTAAAAATCACATTAATTTTACACAAAATTAACATGAAATTTGTATTTGATCAAATCTTACAGAAACCCTTGTTCTAAATCTTTGTTTTCTGTAGGCAGTGGCTTCCACGAGACAAAGTGACACCTTTGGGTGTCAATGACACGGCTGACAAGTTGCGCATCATGGAGGGCCGCAAGTCCAGCATCCGCAAGTCCGTACAGGTGGCGTACGACCGCGCCATGATCCACCAGAGCCGAGTGAGCCACAACCACGGCTTTGTGGCCTCCAATTACCTGTAGAGGGCGACTGAACTCCCACACCATCCATCCTTCTCATGTGAAGCGGCAGGTTGGTCGATTCCTGCCAGCGCTCAAGTCTCCGACCGTATCTAACCAGAAAACCACTAGTGTCTGACACAGAGCAGCCATGTTTGCCTGTGTTATCGTTAAACGGATGAGTGAAGCTACCGTTGGGCCCCTCGTTGCTGCAGTCAGTAGACGTGAATATCCCGCTCAGGGAAGATTCAGGTTGTCAGCTCACTCCACCTGGATGTCATAAATACGCGTGTCTGGATCAAATGTAAAATAATTCCAGCTGTTTTGTACAAAGCTTCCTGCCAGGGGATCAAACCATAACATTTATCCAAACTGCAGGAGTCGGATGAATGCATCACCGCCTTCTTTTATACAAGAGCTTTTTTACAGTTTCACTAAAGATTCTTGTACATTTTAACGGCATACTTGTGTACATAGGTAAATATAATGAACTGGTTTTAATTTAATGTTGCAGTTTTAAAATGCGTAATTCAATCAGCCCTTCGTGGGCAAAGCGAGGCTGTGTATATTTTGTAGAGATGAAATGATTCCTGACTTGCTGCAGCGGACTCGGCTCGTCTTTCACGTCTGCGTGTTTGTGCATTTTAGACGTACGACACGAGAAGCCGACGCTCTTTATATTTGCAATCTCTTTGATACAGAGAGGAATAATTTATTTATAGAAAATGACTATCAAATAAAGTTATATTGATTGAGACTTCTTATTTAAGAGGGGAGTTTTAATAAGTGTTTATCAGATAACTTTGCTTCATGTTTTTTTGCTTTAGACCAAGTTTTGTCCGTCACTGTTTGTCACCTGTTTGATGAATTATTTATTTTTCTTAGCCCCAGTTTTATCCAATTTATAAGCTTGTACTACTGTCATATTTTATCTGCTCACAAATGTTTGTTTCTAACCCTTTATTTTCTCATTTTGGGAAATAAATATTCTATTAAAAACTTTTCTGCACCTGGCGTTTTTTTAAATCTTTACATCCTGTTAGTTTTACATTCTCAAATATTTTGTTAGAAAATACACTTTCTTTCAAAAACCAAGACAAAATTAATTTCCACAGTTTTTCTTCCAACATCTCCAGTTATTAGTCTGCACCCGTTGCTTTATTTTACAATGATTTAACTAACTAAAAGGTTCTTAGGACAAATATAAAAAGACCTACAAAAATATTTAGAGCAAATGAAACACGTTGCAGAAGCAGAAGTTTTATAAGTGCAAGACGAGTCGTGGGGAGTAAAAACACATTGTATACATTTTCCTTCAGTCTCGTTAAAAAAAAAGATGAAGTTCTTGCGTTCTGAAGACAAATAAGTCTTAAACTGATGTTCCGAACTGAATTCCAGCTATAATTTCTTCATCTGTGTGCTCGCTGGGATCTCAGGAGGAGGTAGTTGTGATGAAGGGTCCGTAACTCCGTCAGTCTGCCCAGCAGGCGACCGAACCGCTGCGGACCCCCTCGTGCTGCCCCACACTGGGCTCCACACACCCTGGACAGCAGGTCCAGGATCAGCTCCTGCATTTTCTCCACCCCGCTAGCTGCCTGAAAGGATGCCCGGTCTGTACGTGAGGGGCAGAGAAACACAAAGAGGGCTAAAGTCACAGAAGAGGCTGACGTTCAGAAGCAACTTTCATCTTAAAGAACCCAGATCAAGTACCTAAAATAGAACATAATCTTCCTAATCTACTTTTAAATCAAAGTTCTCTTACAAGTATGGCTTCAGAAATAATACTTTAAATTCTAATCCTTTTAATTTTCTTTGTTGACTTTTGTCTGCATTGTACATGCACAGGGAAATCCCTTCGTATAATATTTGTCATTTTTGAGAAGCTTGAGGAATCCCCCTTTTTAAAGATATCCAGTATGTCTGGAATGCCCATTGACATCACTCCAAACCAAAAAAAAAAAAAATGTTTTCAAACCAGCTGTCTCGTGCTACCTTGTTGCCAGAAAAGGTGATAAATCACTAAAAATTAAAGTACGTAGCTCGAACATGTTCCATTTGAAAATATGTTTCAAAGTTTTGTCATTGTGCCACATTTTGACAACACAATTCAAAAAATTTTATCCCCCCCCCCCCCCCCCCCCAAGTCTTCCACTTTTTACTAGCTTTTTGCTACATTTGGTTTATCTACTTTTAGCTACTCTCTTGCTACTTTTAGCTTTCAGCTAGTGTCTTGTTACGTTTAGCTTTTGGCTAGTGTCTTGCTACTTTTAGCTTTTAGTTAGTGTCTTGCTACTTTTAGCTAGTGTATTGCTACTTTTAGCTTTTGTATCTTTTAGCTTTAACAACTCAGTTTTAGCTTGTTCAGCAAATTTCAGTAAAGTCATTGAGCACAGCGTTTCTCCTGCGGACGGTTGAATTAATCAGATTATTTCCAAATACTGAACTACAAACATGGAGGAGCTGGTGTGACCTGAGCAGAGCAGAGCTGTGGCAGTGAGCAGGGCGTATTCAGCCTCCGTCACGCGCATCACTGCCATGCTGTGGAGGAAGTTGAGCACCGACCCGAGGAGATCATCACTGCCTCCTATTCACATCAATAAATAGGAAGTGTGTCATTAACTTGTTTTTGTTATTATTATTAAAACTGAAGCTTTTTGACGTACCTGAACTGATCCTGCTCTGGATGTTTTCTTTGGTTTCTGCATCTCTGAGCCAGCTGTGTGTGGACATGCTGAAAAGCTGCAGGACTGACAGTAATGATTGTATAATGAGTCAGATCCACGTGTTGAAACGTGCTTCGTGTTCCTCAGCCTGGCTGTGGTTTATTCACCTGGACTGGGGCCCGCCGGGTTGTGGGAGAACTGCTGAGCTGAGAGCAGGAACATGACCTCAGGCGAGGAGACGGACGAGAGAGCGAACTGGTCGGAGAAATCCAAGAGGTCAAAGCCTGTGTGCAGGAGACGGATCAGTTTCATTCCTTTTTTAAATTCTGTTTATATTTCACGGTGAAACTGTAACACAAATGTGACATCACATGTGCAATCCCAGGATGTTCTCTTCAGAGTGCGTTAGAATGAATTAAACGACTCGGAGGAGTTTCATTGAGAGGAAAAACGGTGGATCTCAGGAGCTTCCTGCTCCTTTTCTTCAGACTGCAGTTTTGTGACAAATGTACAAAAATTGTTGACTTTTGTTCGTAACATTTACGTCAACAAATGTGTAATTTTGGAAAACACTTTACTTCCTAAAGCCTTTCTAATGTCTCAAATGTGCATCTGATTGGGCCAAACTCTTTAAAGTTCATGTTTATAACCAAACAATGTCTGCAAACTATAGTTTTTAGTAATTCTGTGAGAACATCTACTTTGTTACGTTGTTAGGGCTTAAAAAAACAGAATACAGGCTAAAAAAGAGGCAAAGCCAGCAGCTAAATATAGCAAAAGGCTGGCTAAAAAAACTAAAGTAGCAAAACAACAACTAAAAGCTAAAAGTAGCAACACCCTGTGAGAGCGTGCGGCCTTTTGACTCGTGTTTCTGCTTTAATTCTTATAATTATTTACACCAAAACAAGGATATTTGGAGGCTCCAAATTAAAGCAAAGATGTGTCTCTATTTAACTTTATTTTATTTTCTCCCAAACCCACAACGTTTTTTCTGTGAGAGAGTCCCAGACAGAATGAGTGAGCTGCAAGGCATGCTGGGTAGCCTGGGGGCTCTGCTGTAGAAATGATTATGGGTACAACTTCCTGTCAGACACAGGAAGTAGCAGTAAGCATTGGTTAACTATGGGAGCGGAGCACGGACCATGGATTATTTGAAAGTCATTTACATTCAGTATAGCAGATAAAGAGCTGGTTTTGTTTTGTTTGCATTTATTTAAATAATGTAAGGTTTACTAAAATAGCCGTGCTGCGTTCAGGTACCTGTTGTGTTCACAGCTGCACGAACAACCAGACCAAACTAAATCAGTGGCTACAACAACAGTTTTGAAAACAAACCCAAAACAAAAAAAGGATTCCTGTGAAAAGCGGTATAGTTTCCATCTCCTACCTACAGATGAAGAATTAAGAAGAATGTGGCTGAAAAATGTGAACTGGAAGAGACCACCCAAAACTCTGTATGTGTTTCACTTTGTTGACAAACATTCGACGGAGGAAAACCTGCATCCTACTTTGTGGCTGGCTACAATAAACCACTGGAGAAGAGACGTCCGAAGGAAGGAAGCATTAAAAACAGTGTGACAAAATTCCAGGTTCTTTAATGCCATTCGCATCCCATGTGGTACATGAGGTGGAACAAAAGTGTGTACACGGGGTCCCAGGTACATCCAACAATAGCAAAAATATAAATTGTAAAAGAAACAGTACTTAGGATATAAGAAATAAACTAATAAATACGCTAAACTAAGAATACGCTAAACACTAATAGTGCAAAACAATACGCCAAACAGCAGCACGAACATGAGTCTGTGTGAGCAGATGAGTATGAATGAACATAGCAGCATGAGGTCAGCAGCATGGATAATCAGCAGGACATATCAACAATCAAGGTGGAATTAATAGGATTTTTTTCACAGTGATTATTCTGGGTAGAGGTTCATGAGTCTAACAACTTCAGGGTAGAAGCTGTTCCTCAGTCTAGTGGTTCTACACTTATTGCTCCTCAACCTCCTGCCTGAGGGGAGTGGGGCACAGTGTGTGTGTTGGGTGAGTGGGGTCCTTCATGATGCAGGTGGCCCTCTTCCTGCATCTGGAGGTGTAGATGTCTGTGATGGTGGGGGGGGGGGGATGACTCCAACAGATTTCTGTGCAGCCTTCACCACTCTCTGCAAAGCTTTTCTTTCTGCAGCTGTGCAGCGTCCATGCTACACGTTGATGCTGCAGCACAGGATGCTCTCCAAGAATTTCAGGTCTGATTTCCAGTGTATGAAGGGATCAGCATTAGCATTTGTTTGTCTTCAGTGTTATGATTTTCTCTGCAATTAACCCAAGCTCAGTGATGGAGGACTTTAAGGCTTTGGCTGGACTCTGTGTCTGCTTTAAGGTAAATAAGATGGTGTCCCACCTCTTTTAACAAAACACCACTGACCTTACTACTGTGTAGATACTGATACGCATCAGAGATTTTCAGGTTGTTCGTCACTTCACTGTCAGAAGAACCGAGTCATTGAAGTAGCTAAATATGCTACTAAGTAGTAGATGTAATATGCAGCCACTTCTTCAGGTTGTCCTCCATCCCTCGTCCTCAGCAGGCAGCTGTATGATTATATTGTCCTGTTTGAGCTCTGACAGGTTGTGTTCCTACATAAATGGACTGTACTTATATAGCACCTTTCTATCTTATTTCAAGATACTCAAAGCGCTTTACACTACAATCTGTGTCCTCATTTACCCATTCATACAGCACTCTACTAGATCTCTACAAAGCTAATTGAACAAATCATTCTAATGAGACTAATCAGAGCTTCAGATCACATTCATACACCGATGGGACACACATCAGAGGCTATGAGGGGTTCAGTGTCTTGCCCAGGGACACTTAGATATGTGACTGCTGGTGGATTCGAACCCCCAACTCTCGCATTGGAGGACGACTGCTCTAACCACTCAGCCACAGCCACCCCATGTTTAAATTAAATCCACCATGCTTGGAGAAACTACATCAACTCGTAAAGCTCGCATATAAACGAACACCGGTTCTGGTCCGCGCCAGAAGTCGCACCCGTAATTCAAGCAAGGCACCATGGGGCCTAGGAATGAGTTGGATAAGTGCATTGGTATCGGTTATCGGCCAAATAAGTATAAGTTTTAACATATCGGATAGCGGCCAAAAATCCAATATCGTGCATCCCTACATTTTATTAATGAACTCATCATTGGGTCAGACTTCAGTTCAGGACCACCAGTTTAATAGAGCTGCTTTAAAAGGCTTGAAGAGATCTCAGTGCATTTCTTCAGAGAAAATATTTGTAAAATAAAGTTATACAAACCAAAAGTCACAGCACCCATCTCCTAAATGAGCTGAACGCTTTGATGAATGAAATGGCTAAAACAGCACAAAGTATGCAGTTAGACTGAGAAAAAACAAAAAGGCAGGAAAACAAACTGAATGCTCAGTCAGCCAAGACCTCTGAACGAGACCGTGAATTAAAAACACCATCTTCTTCATGACAAACAATGGTCATCAAGTTTAAACACCAGGAGCTCACAGAGCTGCACAGGAAGGACCAAAGTTTGTGTTTGAGCAACGAGGAAGAAGCCACTTGTCTAAAAATGACAGCAGAGCAACCAGTTTCAGTTTGCAGCTGCTTGTGGGAAGAAAGATCTTGACCTCTGGTCTGACTGAACCAAAATAAACTTCACAGTAAGTCAGTGGAGAGGACAGTGAAGCTTAAGGACGTTTTCATCAGGAAAGCACAGTGGTGGCAGTGCCATGCTGTGGGGTTCTATAACTGCAAAGCAGACCTAAAATACCTGCCATCTTTAGGACAGACAGATAAAAGCAGAAGCTGTGTCAGAGAAGTGAGACCTTAAGTTCACAGTTTAGAAAAGTGATTTTTATAGACGACGAGTTGTAATATATATATATATATATATATATATATATATATATATAT